ATTTCCTTCGTTGTATAAGATACAATTCTTCTTCTTTTAAATTCTGTGCTTAAACATCATTTGGAAAACACCTGTTTTTAAAAGGTGGTCCATACCTTTGGGTAATAGATTGCTCAAATACCCAAGCCCTAGAGAGTGGTGTCTCCGAATCCTCATACTGCAGTATTGGCATGTGATTTCTGCTAAGTTTTTTCTTGAGTTTCTTCTAGTAGATGGTTATAAATCAGGTTTATGAAGAGGAAACTCTCTATAAGTGTGCATTTTGAATGGATTTATGATAAATCCATCAAAGTGGAGGGTCCATATGGTAGGAATGCAGTAAAGGAAACAGGACAGTGTCATGTAAACATTAAATACAGTGCCTTCCACCTTCATAAATCCTCAATCCTCATGATTAAATGCTGCCAGTTATCAATTATGCAACCAAACTCCAGAAATTACCACAATGTAAATAAGACACCAGTGGGAGCTATAAGTTGTTATATACGTTATCTTCCCAGGAAACTGTTGTATATTTATTAAGAGATAATATTTGAGTCCCTATTTTCCTCAAAAATTATGTTTTTACTTTCTTAAACTTCCTACAATAAGCTCTAGTCATGATTAAAAAGTAATAATGCAAATTTTTAATACAAGACAATGATCTGTCACTTTTATGCAGTGAAGTACCTTTTTGATTTGCTGAGTCATTTTAAAGCTTTCTTAATATATATGTAGCTTTATGTCTCCAAGATTTTGCTCCTTTTAGAATCATAAATCAGAAGTTTCTTCAACAGCCCAATTTCACACTTGTATTTACAATCAAATTATTTTATTACATGTGGGAACAATTAAACATTTGGCCCTCAGCTGTAAACAATTACTATATACGATGACATTCATGGATTTTTCTTAGTCATGTATTTCTAAAGTCCTCTGTGAGACTGATGTATGTGTACATTGTGTGTCCACGAGCAATTATATTATCAAACATAATATCAAAAGAGATTTCACACAGAGAATGCACGAATATGGTCTGCTACCATGTAGCTACCTGCAATGATACCTTTAACACTTTTCAAACTGTTCCACTGTCATTTTATTGCCAATCTAATCTCCTTCTGAAAAACAGCTGGATAGCAAAAACCAATTAAAGATTTGGATAACTTTTTTAGAGTTTTGTAGTGCCTACTTCTAATATACTGACGTCAGTGTTCCCAGTAGCAGAGAGACAGAAGAAGTAAGTCCTGGTGCAGCCGGACTTAGGCCTGAGTCCTAGCTCTGTCAGTTTCTTGTTGAATGGCCTTGGGTATTTACTTTTTTTCAGCATTAGTTTTCATCTTTGAAAAGTGTGGATAGTTCCATTTAAATCATAGAACTATTATGAGTGTTAAATGAGGTATATATTTAAAGAAATACAGCACATACTGCATACTCGGTACATGCTGATTTTTCTAATGTCGCCCGTATTCCTTTCCTGGAAAGACTCATAAGCACTGTGGCTTTCCATTTAGAGAATATCTTTCCTTGGCTGTCTCAAGTTTAAGGATACATTATCTTTTCACTAGACTGCCCTTTTCTATAAGTGACAACTGTGGGAGAAGCCCACAGCTGTTTTACTCACACCCAAAAATAAGTCCACCAGTCCCAGTTGCAAGGGTATCTAACAGCTGTATCCAGCCTTTCCAGGAGGCCAGAACTAGAGCTGAGTGGTAATGTTTCAAGGGCAAAAGCTCTAGATGTAAAGAATGATAAAACAAACCCAAATGAGCCTGAGCATATCTAGTGACAGATACACCACAGCTATTCTAAATTATTCAAGCTTTCTCAGACTTCTAGCAGGAGAAACATAATTCATCACTGCTCCCTTTATTCCACTTTCATATAATGGCAAAGAAGCAAGCAGAAAATACCCACTCCTAAAAAATTGTAAGAATCACTCAAAACAGAGTTTCTTTAGCACATGTAATACTTTTAGAACCATCCAATTTCTGGGAACCAACTTTGGAGGCAGACATTAAAAATGATTTTGCAATGCTAATGGTTGATTTCCTTACTTCTCTTTTGTTAGCAGTTTGCTGGCAAAAAGCCAGTAAAACAGTTGTTTAATTACCCAGGACATCACAAACATGTAACCTCTTAGATAAGCTGTTACTGTATTTTAGCAGCAATAATACTAGAGTCAAAAGTAACAAAGAAAATTAAGCTTCAAATAAGCAAACCTCAAAAGAACAGCTTTGTGTACTGAAAAAAATTAATAACTTGTTTAGGAAAATATTACTAAAAATGTGGTTTTTGGACAAGGAACTGACACTCTTCAGAGGTTAGACACCCTAATATTTAACAGGCTACCATTTGGTGGGCTGGCTGGCTGGCTACCCTATAGGCATGGCAAAGTTTGTTCTCATGTAATTATGCAACATTTAGACAATATCTTAATGATACCATGTAGTTCAGCTGAATCAGTCCAGCTGGAAATTGTAGCAGCATTCTGATTACCTAGCCACATGTGAAATTAAAGCTTTTTCAACCTCTATTATTCACTTGCAATGCCTTGATACAGATGTTCTTGGAAGGACTAAATTATTTACGGTTTGACATTATTTAACAGAGTAAGCCCTACCCCCTTTCATTTTCAACTATTGACTAGGATTGCATTACTTTATAAGATATTGTAATTTTTAACAAGGACTATTAGTTACAATTTATCATATGGAAGATATATTACTATATTTTGGACAGTTAGGCTGAGAATTTTCCACACTTGTTTTTACGTGATAAAAGTCATATACTTTTCTCTTTGCAGATAATTCTTACCATGGAAATATATTTTAACATATACCTTGGAAACCATTTTACTAAATGATTATTTTAGTGATCATTATTTTAGAAAATAGTAATTTAACTTGCATAAACAAACTACTGTAGATTGGTCCTTATATCACTTCATAAAGACATTTAAAATACAGCAATAGTAAAATCAAATTAGTGTGAAAAATTGGCTGAAGGTTAATGCTCTGAAATTTTATTGTATTTCTTTGAATTATCTCCATGAACTAAAAATACAAAGAAGAATTTCAATCCCTCTGAATTCCTTTTTTTTAGCTCCCAGCTCACTCTTCAGTAAATATTTGGACCACTTCTTCCCTATCGTACTACCTGGATGATACCACAACTATTTGTTTTAGAAGTGAACAAAAGTATTAAATGTTTAAATCAACAATCATAACATCTATACATTGTATTTAATAAATTCAGGTAACAGATTATTTTTGAGCAAAAAAAAAAAAAAAAACCACATCATAAATGACATTATTTCAGCCACCCGTGTGATTCAGAATGGAAAAAAATATAGGCAATGAACTATTTAACCTCTCTGGTAATAAACATCAAATGGAATAATGGAATACTTTAAAATGCTTATGCAAATATTTTTATTACTTGTATACATATTGCTAATTTTAGCAAATGAAAGCAGCGGCTGAGGAGGAACAGAAGTTAATGTTGAATGTATGTGAGTCCTCAAGTAAGAAAACTAAGTCTTATGTTTTGTAAATCTTTAAAAAGATAATGCTAAGTTCTGGTTAACTGTCCTTCCCATTAGTAGCACATACCTTCTGGACTAAGGAGTCTTGAAATATATGACTCATGTATTTAAGTTAACTGGCAAATATATACTTGGAATTCCCAATCAGTTGACACAAAAAAGTCCCTTGAAAAGATGACTTGGAAGTACCATCGAGATAATACTAAATGGTCATTAAAGATATTTAAATGTCATTGTCTACTGTCTTCAGTGTGCCATTACACAGCCTCAGGATCCTTTCAAATAGCAATCAATGGAGGATGAATAAGTCTCACCGCTTGAAAGTAACTAGGAAAGGAAGCCAACAGAGTAATCTGGCTTTGCTGGACTGATTCAAGAAGAGACACAATGTCCACCCCTCCTCCTGTAGTTCTCCCTCCCCCTACCCAGCCCACATCCCTGCAAGAAAGAAAGACGAGAAAGCTAAAAAAGGAAAAAAAGAGGGAGAAAGAAAGGAAAAAGGCAAGAAATCCAAAGATCTGGGGCATAATTTGTACTGAGGATAAAACCTCATCCTATGGGGTAAACTACAGCGATGGAAACAGACTTATGACTTTTACTTTGAAAATAAAAGAATGACAATGAAATTTGTGTGAGGTCTGTGTGACTCCAGTCCCAGATGTTTACAATGCTGTAGTAGTATGGCTCTGCAATATGAGAGGTTTCAGAAGGAACGAGTACAACAGGACACCACAAAGCAGCGCATATGCTGTTGACAATGCAGACATGGGCATCATGTTACCAACAGAGAAGGCAGGCAGAAGACAAATAGCAGCGGTGGTGCCTGAAAAGCTAACTTCATGGGCTGCAATCACTCAAACCAACATGAAGGAACCCCAAAAATCAAAACCAGAAAATTGCTTTTTGCTCCTATCTAGAGGGGTGGTGAGGTAAAGGGACGCAGGCAGGGAGACAGTGAAATTAATTATCTTTTCTTTCTTAAATAAAGTTCCCATTAAAGTCCTTATAATTGACAGTGGATAATTATTTTCAGCTTGAGGAAACTGACTTGAAACTCTTAGTAAGATTGCCAGCGAAAGGAAACAAAATGTGTTTACTTGAGTCACTTCCAGAAGGGAGGGAAAGGAGACCTTGGGATGAGGTGGGGAAGGGTGATGGAGCCAGAGAAGGGCACCTATGCACTGCAACCACTCTTGGGCGCCCTGTGTGATCCCGCGAGTGACAAGCCAGAGAGACGGGGTGGATAGGGTGGCGAGGAGTGCGGGGTGTGGAGGGAGCGCGCTGAGGGGAGGGAGTGCGGCAGCACAATGTATTGTGGAGGGGGGGTGATTTAGTGTGAAAGTATTCCACTTAATCATTTTACAGGGGTTGGGGACGTAAATATTTAGCTGGCCACATCTGGAACAGATTTCTCCCCCCCGTTTGGGGTGGGGGTGGATAATTGGAGGGAAGGGAGCGCGCATTTGTTACTTACTGTATGGGCAGTTCTCCTTCTTGGTACCGCTGACCTTCCCGTTCTCAATCTTGAGAAAGTACTTCGTGAAAGAGAACAGCTTTCTCCAGCGGACATCTCCTTGAAGGTGATTGTAGCTCCGCACATGCCTCCCAGCACTGGAAGGAGAGGAGAAGGACGAGGAGGACGAGGAGGAGGAGGAAGAGGAGTTGGTCGCCTCTGGTGACACCATGTCCTGACCAAGGGCTTGGCAGGTGACAGGGACGGAAGACACCAATAACAGCAACAAGAAGCAGCAGCAGCAGCCGGGCAGGTGGGGAAAGGCTGAGGCACAATGTGTCAGTATCCATTTCCACATTGTACTGAAACTCTCGGCACTGGAAATTGTCTCATCAGAAGGAACATACTGGAAGGGTAAGACCTGGTGCGAGGCGAGGAGACAGCTGGAGGTGGCGGCCGCTGGTTAGCTCCCTCTGGGCTCGGATCTGGCCAGAAGTGAAAGCACCAACATCCATAACTCCTCGGAAGGGCCGGCTGCCTCTCCTCGCTCCTTTCTCGGATCCACTGGCGCGCGCCCCTCGGTCTCCGGGTGAATGTGGACGTGGGTGGCCGCAGGAGCAGGAGCTGGTGGTGGCGGTGGTGGTGTGGGTTACGCTCGATCTTCACTTTCCCAGGAGTTACTTTGTTCTCTTCTTCACTACGTTAGATGCAAAAAAAGGTCTGAAAAACAGATGACAGCACGGTGAACAAAACCCAGAGGGGTTGGGGAGGGAGGCTGGGGGAGATATCTGCGCCCGTTTGCGGTTGGCACCTTCTGGTTCTCCTCCGCAGAGCCCCAGTTTGCTAGCCAGTTCTAGAAGTGCGTCCCTTTGGAGTTGTCAGAACTGGAGGCAGCTGCCCGGTCGCGTTGTTTTCTTCCCCCTCTTGCTTTCTCTTTTTGGTGGTGCCTGTTGATTTGAAGCCTCCAGAAAGTCACTTCTTGTTTAGGGGGGATGGCGGTTGGTGTTTTGTTTGGCCCTATTTCCCTCCCCCACTCCCTTCCTTTGGAAAGCCCGCTTGTAAACAGGTTGAAGCCTGGAGTCTAAATGTCAGTGATTCTAAGCCAGAGGTGGGCTTTGCCTCTGCTGGTCAAACCTCATTTGCAGGGGTGGAGAAGCGGGGGGAGGGGGTCAAACGGCGGTGGGACATCTGAAACCCTCCGCTGCTGGGAACGCCAAGGAGAGGGAGGGGGGAGGGGGCCGGGAGCGGGGAGAGCAGGGGAGCGAGGAGAAGGGAGCGCGATGCATCTGCACGGAGCTCGGGGGCTGCGGGTCCCTTCCTCCCAACCCGGGCAGCCGCAGCCTGCAGCCTCTGCCGGCGCCTTCAGCTCGGGCTAATTGCTGCGAAAGCGTCCTTGTGCTCGCTGCGCTGGGCACCGGCGCGAGCTGTATCCTCAAGCTTTCCGGATTTCGCTGTCTTCCAGCCTACACCAGTCTCCTCTGGGGAGCCCCTTTCTCACTTGTTTTCCAGCATAGGACTTTTTTCCCCCCCTTTTGGCAGTGTAGTACTTGAGAGCCACCTGGAGCCTGGTGCTTTGCTGACTTTTTATCCCCACTCTCGCTCCGAGGAGGGAGGCTGAGGGAGAAAGCAGAAGATGCTGAGGATAAACCCTCCAAAGCAGCAGATTATAAACTGGTGGGATCGAGCAAAGAAAGGGAGGACATAATTAGCTTCCTTTCCTCCTCTTCTGCCAGCTTCCAAGGAGGTCTTTGCTTTAATGAATCACTGATTCCTCGCTTCCGTTGCTAAAGTAAAAAGTTCACACTTTGGCCCTCTCTGCCTTTTAAGCTCAGGGAGATTTATCACCACCCTTAAAAGTCGCCTCTCTCGGTGCAAATGAAATCAGGGACCGAAATGACCGATTTCTAATTGCTAACAAGGGTCGTTTACAGAATAACGCGTGCACTTCAAAGAGAACTCGCTTTATTGAGATTGCGAAGATTTACCCTTACGATTTGGCCGAATATTGTTTTCTAGCAATTTCTTTTGCGCTTTGCTATCAAAGGGTGTTTTCTTTTTTCTGTCTTCAAATTTAATTTGTAATGGGCCCTACTGTACAATATACTTGCACCATCAGTCTCCCTCTCTTTCTTACATTCACCACCCCACGACTCCTTCATTACTAATACACTTGCTCACCTCTCAGGTACAGACAGAACCAAGTCCCTGGCTAGGAAGTCTTTGCCAAGGATTAAGAGGCACAAAGAAGGAGATACTGTGATAATCCGTTCTAATCTGAGTAAGGGTTA